GGACCTTTGGAAGAGCAGGCAATGCCCTTAACCACTGAGCCATCTCTCCAGCCCCACTTCATTATTCTTTTACTGTTGACTGACCCTTCTAGTCTCAGGTGCGCATTTCTATTCTGTATCACACCTTCCCTCTCGGTTTCCAACGTTTCCCCCTTCTCCCATCTGTGCTGACCCAGTCCCTACCACCTGCTGTCACTCACTCCTTCCCATCCATATTATGACTTGGTATTCTCATCCCTTGTGCTTCTCCCATCCATAGCACTGACCTTGACAACAAGTTCAAATTGCGACTATTTCAATAGCCTGAAGGTTATGAGACCATCAGTCTTGTAAATGCTTGGCATTGTTCAACGAAGTCTACAGGGAATAACAGAAATAAAGTCATGAATGAAGAAAATTATGATGTGCTGGTAGAATCAGTGTCTGGTTATCTGTAGGTGCTAAAGCAGCATTAGCCTTTATTGATATTTATTTAGCATCTTTAATATTCTGGGTACACATAAACAACATTTAGACCCATGAAGAGTTTACATATGGAATTAAAACTAGATATAAATGAGGAGTGACTAACCACTTACTCATTTATTTAACAATTATTTATCGAGTACTGACTATATTCTGAGGCCAAAGGTTATGGAGATGAAATGGTTTTATTCCAGCTTCCACGGAGCTTATGGTTGACTAGGAGCGATATAAACAAACAGTAATAACGCTATCACTCCTCCATGTGGAAGGCAGTGCACACCGGGGAAAACTCAGAGTCCCAGCGTCTGAGCCACAGACTTTTCAGGCAAGACTCAGAGAAGGTCACCAGGGTCTAGAACATCAGCATTCAACGCTTTTCCTTTCTACACACGCACTGAAAGTGAGCTCACAGGGCTAGAGAGAGGATTCTGCAGTAAGAGCAGCACTGGCTGCTCCTCCAGAGCACCTGCCTTTGATTCCCAGCACCCACATGGCAGCTTACAACTGCCTGTAACTCCAGCACCAAGGAATCTGATACCCTCTTCTGTGTTGGCAGGCACCAGGCAAGCCTGTGGTGCACAAAGATACATGCAAGCAAAATATCCATACACATAAAAGAAAAATAATAATATCTCTTCTTAAAAGAAAGTAAACTCACATCCCACTAAGCATAGTTCCTTATTTGTTCTTGCTGATACTTCATTTGTGTGTCTCTGTGTGTGTGTGTGTGTGATACACTTTAACTAAAGTAGACATTTAAAAAGAAGGACAGTAAACCAGCACAATGACTCAGTGGGTAAAGTGTTTGCTGCATAAACCTAATGAATTGAGGTCAATCCCCAGATGCCATAGCAAAAGAAAAAAACTGACCCTCAAACGTCATCTTCTGACCTCCACACCCATACCATAGCAGGTGTGTATCTGCACAAACACACACACACACACTCACACACATGCATACATACACATTAATATACCACACACACACTGATAATAAATAAAATATTATTTAAATAAACTAAATAAAATTTATTTAAATATTATTTAAATTAAATTAAATAAACAATATAAATGAGCTGGGATATCCTCTGCTGTTTCAGTCTATCCTCTCTTCCCAACTCCTGTGCTGAAAACAACTGTGATCTCAGCAGACCAGGGCAGAGCAGAGGCCCACCTGCTGCTAAAGAGGAGTCTGGATTTGATTAATTCATTCGTAGATTTGGGACAGTCATAAGCAGCAAATGTAGCATGTGACAATCCAGACCTTTCCAGGATCCCGGGAAACACTACTAGTACAAGGTTTGGTTTCCCTATGAATATGCCCATTCAAGGAGCCTGGTAAACACCACAAGTACAAGGCTTGGTTTCCCTGTGAATATGCCCATTCGATAAACTGAAATAGATAGAAGCTGCTTAGTGAGCACAGAATAGAACAAATGGAATTGCCATCTGTAGAAATGTTTCATCAAACAAGAAGAGCTGATTGAACTGCCCTGCTCATCTCTGAGTATATTCCTGTCGGAATAACTAGGCCTGGACCTCAAATAAATACTGACATGTTTTCCTTTTAGCTTTCGTTTTCCTAGAATCACTTCAGACAACTGCCCTTCTGTTAATGGATCGCCACCTCAGATAATAAGAATGTACTTGATTAGATTGAAACTTGAAAACATTAATTACATTCCTGTCCTGGGGATTCAACCTAAAGAGAGAAAGAATTGCTCTGCATAAGGCTGGAGGAACACAGGGACTGGAATCCTGGCAGACTCTGAGGTTGTTAAAGGGCTTTCCCTACTCAGAGCCAGCAGAATCCTCCTGGCCCCAGGAGATACATCTTCACCCACTTCAGCTTTGGGGTTCTTCTTGGCTTAGGTTTTCTCAAAGAAGTACTAGGCTTCCTGGTCGCTGGGACGGTGCCCCTCTCTCCCTACATGGAACAACAGGTATGGACCCAGGAAGGAGGCTCAGCCCTTGGATGACAACATCGGCATTGGGGACAGTACAGATCCTTTCTTTTTCCAGTATTAGCCTGCCTGCTATCATGATCTTTGTTTTTCCTAAAAATGAACCCATAGTCTCCTCCTGAAAGCTATGAACAGTTAAAACACAATAAACTAAAACTATACAATGACTTTCATTCACCTTAAGAGCAAGCAATCTTCTACCCCCAACATTTCTTCTTTGAGGTAGGATCTCAAGGAGCCCAGGCTGCATTCTCCTCCTCCAGAGAGCCAAGAATGGCCTTAAACTTCTGATCCTCCTGTCTCCACATCCTGGGTGACAGGCATGAACCTCCATTGCTGGCTATGCAGTGCTAAGGGTCAAAGACATGCTAGGCAAGCACTCTCCTAACTGAGCTACAGCCTCAACCCTTTACAAATCTTTTGACTCTCGTGAAGACACCTACAAATGTATTTTCTCTGACTTATCAGTTATATATTATCTACTAAAATAGTTGAAAGTGATACCATTATTCTGGAACAACTCCAAAGAATAAGAAATATTAGGAACTATTTTATGTCATCCATTCAACCCCTTAGCCAATGTGTATTAATTCCAATGTGAAGAATATGACAAAACTCAAGCTTAACCAATCAGAAATCATCAGTCAACTTTTGGCCGTATCTATGGATTTGGCAGCTGAATTGCATTCCAAAAATAATTTTTAGAAGCTAGAAACATGGCTCAGTTTATAAAGAGCTTTTTACTCAAGCATGAGGACTTGAGTTCAATTTCCTGGACCTTTATAAAATAAAAGCCAGGTATGGAGGCACACATTTGTAATCCCAGTACTGGGAAAGCCCAGAAAGGTTCCCTTGGGCTCACTGGCCAACCAGCACAGCTTAGGCATTGATCTTCAGCTCACTGACTGCCTGCTCAAAAAGGCGGGGCCAGCAAGATGGCTCAGCAAGTGCCACATGAGCCTGGCCATCTTAGTTTGACCTTCCAGCCTTCAGGACACACAGAGAGGTGAAAAGAAAGAGTCGACTCTGTATAGAAACATATGCCAACTTCTCCCTGTTGTTATTGTCTAAACAATCCAGTATGCCAATTGCATAATGGTGTTCCCATTGTATTAGTATTACAAGGAATCTGCAGCTGTGTACAGCAGGATGTGCATAAATTATATGCAAGTATTTCAAGATTTTATGTAAGGGACTTCCATTCTCTGATTTTGATATCCACCAAGGTACTGGAACTAAACAAAGGATAATGGGAATCAACTGTGTTGTCTCTGTTTTGTTTCCATGAACACATAAGTTTCTCTTCTTGCCCTCCCCAACTGGTGGCATTAAGCCACTTACAGTCTGGTGTTGCTTTATTGAGAAATCACTGAGGTGGCTCACATAAACTCATTAAAATTTTAATGTGCGTATCTATAATGCATTTAACTTTAAATATTCCATGCACTTATCTGGATGTCACTACATCCTAGATGCCTACAAAAACAAATTGCACTAGTGCGGTAAGAAGGTAATTTAATATCTGAGCAGAACAACACTGCATGTTTAATTTAAAAATATAGCTTAGGAATAGCAGTGCCAACATAAAGTTACCTTTGTTAAAGAATAGTAATTGGATTTAATGTCTCATATATACGTGGTTTTCATTAAAGGAAAGAAAGTGAAGTTTATGTGTGAGCATAAACTAATGAAGTGAGCTCAGCTCACCTGTTGTGCCCTTCAGACAACAGGTACAGCATACACCATTAACACAGATTGTAGAATTAGCATAAAGCTCAAAGCTTTAGTAAGCTTCAAAACACAACTACGTGTTTTGATCTTTACCTGGGATGGTAAAATGTGCACGTTAGAAAGGAGTCTCCACAAGAGATCATGTTGCAAGTCAGGTCATGGACCCATATTAAATTCTTGATCCACTTGTCCTGATGGAATCTGAGTAAGTTGGTTTGGAGTTTTGTTTATGCTTTGTACATTCTTCTTGAGACACTGGCCACTCTGGCAGGCAAAGGTTGGGAAGGATGGATCATGCCTTCCCAGGAGTTTATGGTGCTGATTGACTGAGGGTACCTGGGTGAGTTCAGATGGCATCTGATTTCAGGCTCTGGTGTCCCAGGACCAAAGATTACACCAGGTCCTCATGATTAGAAACAGGAATTCAGAGAAGAAGAGCAGTCCCAAGAACGAAAGCATGCGAATGAGCTAAGGGAGTAGCTGCATGGGTTATAAGGCCCTTATAGGGCCTTTATAGTCCCCACTGCTCCCATGTAAAGAACCCTGTGCATGCTCGATTCTTTAGATGAAGCTCAAGGAAAGAAAAGTTTCCAGTCTTGCCCGGCAAACTGGCCCCTTTCACATACAAATCTTGATATTTCAGACCCTATTCCCCTGCTACCCCTGGAGCTCTCTGCACAACTCGAAGGCAGCTCCTCTGAAGAGTCTCTGCTCCCCCAACAAATGTTAAGGGGAGCATGGCTATTGCCCATAAAGTCTTAGTAAACTCAAGAAATACAGCTGTTATGTCATTTCACTAACCAAGGTTAAATTATCTTGTCTTCTCTCTTCGTCCCACAGGAAATTATTGGAACGCTGCCTCCTTCCCAAATCCTTCATCCTACCTGCACTTCTCTACCTTCCAAGGAGAAACCAGTGCTGACATTTCTTTCTATTTCAAGACGTTAATCCCTCGAGGAGTGTTTCTGGAAAATCTGGGGAACACTGACTTCATCAAACTGGAGCTGAAGTGTGAGTATCTATTTTCTGTCAACATGGTGTGGCCACTCTGATCACAGAGATGTCTCAAGAAAGTTGACCAAGAAGACAAGAAAATACTGCTCTCCTAATGGCAGGAGAGCATGCAGTAGGGCTCCTTGTTTAACGTGCTTGCTTTCCAGGGAAGTAGGTCAAGAGTGGACAGAGGTGTGTAACCAATCAGAAGCACAGAAAGTAGAGGGACCAAGGTGAGGAAAGCAGAAGGAATATATGAAGACAGCATGACTAAGGCAGTCACAGATCAGTTAGCTGATGGAACAGAAGACTGGTGGGTGCTTTTCTCAATGAAGCTCTGCAGCCACACCTTCCGAAAAAGTGTAGGGTTATAATTTGTTTAGCCAAGGACATAGAAATGCGGAGTCAGGCCCAGTTGGCCTTGGATCCATCAACTGTGTGGAACGCTCTACTTTGGGGCTGCCTCCATGGGAAGACAGGCCAGGCAAATCCACAAACAATTCTTGGCTCACCAAGGCGCTTGTATCCTCGGGGCCCAAGTTTAGATTTAGAAAGCTCTAATATGCAGACCTCCAGGTTAAATGGTTACTTGCTCTTCTATGTGCTGAGATAAGTCAAAATCATGTGTAAAACCCTGCACCCAGTCTTCTGCCAGATCTCAGCCCCGGCTGAGTATATCAGACCAGCTTCCTCCCCACAACCTTACCCTTTATGTTCTCTGTAATACTGTTGGCTTCTGCCTCTGTTCCAAAAATAATCCCAAGTCCATTTCCCAGGATATCTGAGCTTTTTCTCTTTTTGTACTTATACATATGCAATGCACCATTTTAAAAAGATTATCTCACATAAACATTTTTTTCTGTTGAAATCCCACTGGGTTCTCTTTTTAAATGATAGATTGTGACATAGCAAAAATGGGTAAAGATGTCAGAGAATGAGTTTCAGATTCAAACCCAAATTTATGATTGACTAACCTAATCTCTTTGGATTCCAGTTTTTTGAACTATAAAATTATGATGTTAATCTGGGGAGATTGTTCTGAAAACAGGGAGCAGATATTTGTGGAGAATGTCAGTGTCTAGTAAGTGCCAGAATTATTTCCCCAAGGTTGCTCATTGTGCTGCAGGGTTTCTCAGTTATGACAGGATCTTTCTCAACCCAGTTGTACTGGAACCAGGGTCCTAAGGTACCAGATGCTTGGCTGTCTTAAAGATCAAGCTGAGACAATGACTCCAAATACATTGTCTCAAACCAAGGAAGGTTAAAGATGTGCACTTTCATGGGAGTATGCACAGCAGACGCAAAATTCACTAAGAATTAAGAGCAGTAAGAAATGGAGGGAAAGTGACAGAAATTCCTGAGAGGAGAGATTTCCAAGAGAAGAAATGACTGTCAAGTTCCTTTGTCCAGGGGCTTTTACAGGGCCATGGCAGATGCTAGACAAAGGCTGAAGTACTGCCTGTTGGTTTGGCTAGATTTCTGGGCTATCATGACTGAGTCAGTAGAGACCCACATGATCCAGTCTGTCCTGCTGGACCAGTCATGAAAATGATTCTGTGTTGTCCACGTACTGTGCATCTCTGACTCCAGCCTCGTTAGTTATTGACCTTGACTGTCAATAACTGTCAGTCATTTGTCCCGCATCACTACCCTCAGACTCTGCAGGTGCCCCAGAAGTCGTTAATTATACCATACTCTCTTTATTCTCATATTTACATAGTCAGCTATAGCTTTCCCATGACAGAGAGTGAACACAGCCCCAGCCACCAAGATGTAGCTGCAGTCTTTCTTGATTGTCTCATAGCTAGCTAGCTGGTGGTCTGAGGTAGTCCCCTAAACAAAAACTCATTGTTAGAAGCCATCCTTGCTTATATTGAGTTTGTTGCAATCAGCTTCATTAGAATCAAGAATTTAGGAAAGGATAATAATGCATTAAATACGTCCCTGGGGGCTTTAGGGAAAGAAACAACTGGTCTGCCATCACTGTCTAAGATCCCTGTCTCTCTCCTTCTCTGTCTAGCTTAGTTATCTCATATTTAACTACAGGCCTCCTTTTCATCTTCCTCGCTGGTCCAGACCTAGCTGTGTGAACCCTTCACCTTCCTTTAACCCCAGCCTCTGTTCTCGCTGCAACAGACCTGGGCAACTTGCACTTTTTTACCATGGGCAAGATCTGATTAAACAGAAGAATGAAAATAGTCTGGCCCTAGAATTAAAACTAATTAATTTATTGATTAAAATGCCCTCTCTACTGAATTAGGGCTCATAATTATTAAAATGGGATTTTTCATTTCCTTTGGTTAAAATTAATTTAATCAACTATGTTCTTACTTCCACATCCGTTAGATGACATATTAGAAATATCCCATTGACAGCTCTATATTTGAAAAATTCTATAATTTTCTATAATGTTACTTGTGTTCTCTGACTTTTATCTGCTTGTATTTGGTAGAGTCATGTCTGGATAGGAAGGATGATAAGCCGAATTCAGAGAGAGCAGGTGTCTTGACTTTCCACATGTATCAAAGAATTTCATTTATTTCTTATTGAGGAAAATCTTCAGAGATGCTTGCATTAGGAGCCCCGAGCCTCGCCTGCTGCACTGGGGCTCCTTTCTTGCAGGTCTTCCTGCACTATGCGAAGTGTAGTGGAAGGTGAATTACAGTCTCCATCTGGTCATACCACTGATATTTTCTGTCACATAGTTCATACGGGGTGAAGAAATACAGGATCTTTAAGATGGAGACTTGAAACAGTCTCTTCTAGAGCCTCCTGTACCTTCTAAACGTCCGTAAAAGTGAAAATATTTCTTAAAGACCCCTGGCTGAAGACAGTAGAAACCATCACTTTGTGTGTCTCCACTAGAATTCAAAGTTACCTTGGTGTGTTCTGTGCAGCAGGGGATGGCAGATGTGTGAACATGAGAGAAACACACTCAGTGTAAGTAAGAAGTGCTTCTGTGAAGCTGTCAGCTCTTAAGAGACACTGAGGCACAAGCTAGTTTATCGTGTACATGGGCCTATAGTGTTTCAGCCTGGGAAAGGGCTGAGCCAAGCCGTCTTAAATGTGTCCGTGCTCACAGATTTCACACAACTGTTAAAGCACTTTTGTAAAAGTGAAAGGAGTGGTGCTATTTTGTGCATGTGTGACTAAAATCTCCGAGGACAACCGAAAAGGGGAATTATTTCGCTCCACTCAAGATTTCATAGAGTTAGTGTATGGTCAGGTAACCACATACACTTGGGCCGAACGTCACAGCAGAAAGAGTCTGTGTCATTTGAAAGTCCTGGACTTGAGAGATGACCTGGAAGAAGGGAAGGGGCATGCTGCAGAAAGGGGATCAGGGCAAGATAGAGCCCCAAGAGCAGCCCCAGTGGCCGGGTTCCTTCTATAAAACTCCTCCCAATAGTGCCATCAAATTACAATCCATCAGGAGATTAATGCATTCATTAGTTCAGAGCCCCCAGGATCTAATTGTCTCTGGAACCAAAATAGACACACACAGGTGTACTCTACTTAATCCAGCCAAGCTAATAATGAAGATTAACCATCAAATGGTATTATATCAGCTGTTTGTCAAGAATGCAGATTAAGCTGGAGAGATGGCTCAGCGGTTAAGAGCATTGCCTGCTCTTCCAAAGGTCCTGAGTTCAATTCCCAGCAACCACATGGAGGCTCACAACCATCTGTAATGAGATCTGGTGCCCTCTTCTGGCCTTCAGGCATACTTGCAGAAAGAATATTGCATACATAATAAATAAATAAATAAATAAATAAATAAATAAATAAATAAAATAATGCAGATTAAGACAGACAAGGTAGAAAGGTATCTCCCGAGGAAGGGATTGAGTATATAATATGTGTAAAATTTCTTAGGGGAGGGCATGTTTACAGGGTTGACGATCCTAGTGAGTGAGCTGTAGGAATGACATGTCCCACTAGGATAAAAATGATAGCCCTCGGCATCTAAGCAGCAGGATGCAGTGGCTTTGGGCCTAGGAGGGTTTGCAAAGGCCCTAGGAAAGGAGTGTGCATGCATCTGCACAGGACCGAAAGGAAGGATCCCTGGAGGAAATGTGACTGACGCCTGGTCTGGCGAGTCCTCGCAGCCTAATATTTTAGATTGGGCTTCAATCTGTTTACTCATCTAATTGGTTTTTTTTTCTACAAGCAGCATGGAGGGGGAAAGCCTGGCATGGTTGACACTTGCTAGCACCTTGTTTGTCACAATTATTCATTTTGACTTTTCTGTGTTGGATCTCTGGGATGGTGGGTAAAGAACTCCTTCAGTAGCCGACTCCCAGAGGGCTCAGGCAGTGCAGTGCTTTGCTGCAAGCAAACTTTGTTTAAACGCCCTCTCCTTTTCCCCCATTTAGTTCGTTTGTCTTTCCGATAGGAATTTAAATGTTGTTTCTCTGCGTGTGTCTCGGAGGAATTTTGTCACAGTGCACGCCTGCATGTTGCTTTCCAGAATAGCAGCCCTGTTAATTAACTACATTGTGGCCTTCTGTCAAGAGTAGAGGATTCTTGACTCGGAGAACAGTGAGCTTGTGTACCACAAGTTAATGAGATGTCATCAACATCCTTTGCACAAGCAGAAAAACCCAAGATAAAATCCGAGTGATCTTACTCATTAGCGTATTTTAAGGTGAAATTTTGACTGTTTCTCGCTTACTGTCTAATGTTTATGCATTCATCCAGTGAGTTTTGCCTGGATGTTGACTAAGCTGCTGGCACTGTTACAGGTGCTGAGGGAGCGTGCTCAATCACACTTTCTTCCCTCCACACATGTGACCATTTGGAAAGCAGGCAAGTGAATAGTGGTTGTATATTACCAGGCCAACTCAGTCTTCTTGGGTCATTTTGACTCTAGCCTTATTTCAGACTCTTTAAACAAATCATGTCCCATTCTAATAACCCTCTGAAATGGACATACGGTTCACATATCCACTTTACAAGTGAGGAAACTGAGGCATGAGGGGAGGATGGTCACACAGCTACAAAGTGCAGAGCTTGGC